AATTTCTTAGGAGTGTTGTTGAAGACAGCTAAGCAGATAACCTGTCTGGCAGGTGCTCTCAGAAATAAACCAGTGGAGTATACCTGCGGTGGTCTTTGTCCTCTTGTCTTTGATAGGCAGGAGAGATTGGTACCGTTGCCTCTGGGTAGGGGGACTATGTGTAGAAAATGTGTTAAGGAATCCTGCATGAGACTTTTAGTAGTGTGCAACTTGGAGTTTTAATCATCAAATTTAAGACTGTTACTTTGTCAAAGTGTGGAGAGGCTTTTTAATGTAGTAACAATGTTCATATTCTGGCTTTCACTGTGTTCTTGAATAAGAGGAATAAGGTCAAAATCATATCCTGAAGTGCCTTCAGGATTTCAGGTCAATAGATGTCTTAATTGTTATCCAAATTTAGAAGACAAATTAACTTCTAGTAGCAAGTGCAGTGCTTTCACCTGAAAGCTTTTGTTTGTGGTGTTGTTTTCTTCCATCTCATACATCCCTAATCCATCCATGGACTTCTCATCAAGCTGTGAGTAGAAAAAAGAAATCCAGACGTGTCAAAACCTGAGTTGTCTTTATATAGCCACGGTGTAATTTCTTATAGGCTACTTAGTTAATTCTTATTCCACAAAAAAAGCAGAATAGTAATTCTTACCTGTGAGTGAGGCTAGCTTTGCGAGGTGGATTTGTAATACAAAATGTGCATCTGAGATTCTTTTAGTGAACTGTAGTTCTTTCATGTCACGCCCCTTGGATGGAAGGGGCAGGTACTCCATGTTAGACGGCTGTAGACGGTTAGAATTTCCAAACAGCAGAGCTTGTCTTCTGAAGGGAACAGCAATTGCAATAGCACAGAGGTCTGGGGGAAGGAGCCAGGACGGCAGCCTTGGATGTGATACAGCCAAGGGAGCAGGTACCTGTGAGTTACGCAGGCTGCCCGCTGGGTAGCTGTGATGGGCTGTTGGGTGGCATTACTGCCAAATGTGCTTGGGTTGTTAAATGCTTTACATAAATAGATCACTATGCAGATGCACTCTGAAACAGTGAGTTCTTCCTTCTTTTCAGAAACTTTCAAAGGTTCAAGTGTTCTTGAGATTTCTGGGGATACATAGCAGTGGCATGACCATATATTCATTCTGACATGAAAAAAAAAAACCCCAAACCAAAAACCCCAGATAATAAAAATTGAAGTTTTTATAGCTGCAGTATGATAGAAACTAAATTTTGTTTGCTAGGTACAAACGAAAAGTAGTCTGTCTAGTTTTGCTTATTCTATCAAATTTACCTAATTAAACACAGTAAAAACTTTTGCAGCCAAGGCCAATCCCATGTTTTTGAAGAAAAATAGCCAAGCTCTGAGACAGTCTCTGCATGATCTTTCAGTACTTCAAAAATTTCCTACTCAAATACTTTTTTTTTTTTTAAACTTACAATATTGTGGTGGAATACATCAGATAAGGAAATTGAACAACTGGCCAGAAAGTAGATTGCCTTGGTGTGGCACTAGAAGGTTGCCCAGTTAAATAACAAACCACCACCATGCTTTATATTCCTGTACACTCACTCATTGCATATGCCAGTCGAATCTGCTTTTGCTTGATGCTTTTTGCTACCAGCCTGCTGCTCTGGCAGCGTTGCAGAACGCTCCTGCTAACGCTGTCTTCTCTTCCTAAGGAAGTGATGAATTTAAACCGTAGCGTATTAGGATATTTTGCAGAGCACTCTGTTTTCCACAGGTGTAGGAGTGTCAAAAGGTGCAGAGAATATCCCTTTGTTAAACTGCATTTTTTTTAGGAGGTTAAAGTTAGCATTAAAAAAAAAAAAAAATCTGTTGTGAGTAGGACTAAAGGTAGGTAATTCTTTAAATAGATCGTAGGCAAATGAACTACAGTACTACAGAAACACTGCAGAGCTTTAGGATGCTACTGCTCCTGCATGTGCAAGAATAAAAAAAAAAAAACAGGTGCTTTCCATATTCACTTCAATGAAATGTGACTCCTTCAGTGTGAGATAATATTACTGCGGCATTGGTGAGATTATTGCTGAAAAATGTCTATTTTGAAGCTTCGACTTCAAAAGTGAAGTCAACAAATTGGGAAGGATTCAGAAGACAGACCTTCAGGAATAATCTTTTTGTCTACAAATCTTATGTTACTGAGGGGCTAAGAAATCTCAATTGAGATTTAAGAAACAGCATGATGACTGGCAATTCTACAATGAGAACGGATTTCTGACCTTAAAGGTGTTAGACAGTATAAGTATTAAAAATCAGTATTTTTAGTGAATCCTGATGAAGGTGAGATCATGTACAGTGTCCATTTTTAACTGAGAAATTTAACACTGAATAAGAATCATAAATTTTGAATTGGCTGCTGCATTTCAGTAGATTTCCTGTGGGATGCGGGGTTGTTTAAAAAGTTGTGAGCTTCATGCAGAAGTTACTGGTTGCAGGTCTTTGCTCCTATGAGTTTAAAATGTTGTAAATTTTCACAGCTGTTGCCTCAGGTTTATAAGATGATGGATTCTTTTGTGGGTACGTCTCTCCCAGGCTGTTGTTGAAGGGCAGATCATATGAAAATTTTGGCAGAAGGGAAAACTTTAATGCGAGACACTTTTATTAAAAGAAATTAAATGATCGCTAGTGAATATACAAAATAGTAAGTGAGAACAGATCAGAACATAAGCAGAATAAACAAATCTACACAAGGAATAGATTATTTTTGTATTAAAGGATATGTATTAAATCACATAAATATTCTATACATATATATGCACTGCTTCTCCAATTTTTAATTTGCCTTAAAAATGTAGAGGCAAGATAAATTTATTATAGAAGAGAACCAAAAGGAAGCTGATGATTTATTTTCTCAAGTAATTTCCCAAAGCTAGTTTATGAAAACTGTGTATAGAAAATATCTTACCCTTTATTGCTGCCTGCTGAGTTAGTCTTAAATGAAGAAGAGCAAATCAGAACTGAATTCAGTTTTTAGACAATTCCCATTTCATGCCAGCAGTGCAAAAATAATTCTGTTGCTGTTCAGTAGGTTTCCTTACCAATGCTTTCTTCTGTCCTGTACCATCCCTAAATCCTTTATCCAGGGAACTATGCAAGTGTATTTAAAATTACTTTAGCATATTTCAGAGTCAGTATAATAGCTTTGTAATCAGTGATAAATATCTAATTTAAAGATAATTAAAAATGCTTGTCATATATAAGCATATGATTTTTAAGTAAAAGTTGTTTCTG